ATCTTACCAACCTTCCTAAAGGAAGTTAAAAGTTACTCTGGGTTTAAAAAAGGGGTATGCATCTTAGTTAAATTGTACTTAGATAATGTGTATTAGATATATTAGCATATTACGTTGTATTGTACTGTACTATTTTGTATCTGTTTTAATTTCAAGAGAAAATGTTTAATAAACGTTATTATTATTATTATTATTAAAGTTACTACTTAATGTGGTAAAACCAAAAAGCCTCAAACTTTCTGTATGGTTATTTTTTAATGTTTACTTATGTTATATTTATTAAAATCACAGAAGCGATTGGCATGCATTACTAACCTCTTATACCTTATTAACCTAGATGCCTGAGTAATACCAAAGCTCTTACTAAATAAAATTAGTAAACTTTAGCAATACATATTTCTTTTTATTAGACTCTATTAAAAATGACTCTTTTATTTTTCGTTTAGAGGTTATCGCTTCTTTGATGCTAATTTTTGCGTTGTTTTCATAATAATTTACCTTTTTGAAGAGATGAATCCGCCACTGAGGTAGACATTTATTTCAAACATTTTTAGGCAAAAAAATTGCCTATAAAGGGATTTCAATGGCGTGGCTTTCCATTTTTATTGTATGTCTTTTTCAGTTATTTTTTATTCAATGGATCAATCTACATCCAATTATTATATAGACGACAAAATCAGAAAACCAGGTATATCAGCATAGTTCGATAAATCTGGTAAGCTTCGACAGCATTACAAGCTTGACATTTTGAGCCCCGAAGTGTCTACACGCTCCAATAATTTCGCCGGTGGTTAAATGTGTAGCAATTGGGGCATGTCCTTGATTAGTTCGAAGGGCTTTACATGAAAAACTATGCCAAACAAAGCTCCATGAGGCACATTCAATTAAAATGGTAATTTACGGCTTTATAAGCAATTACTGACATGCACTTTACGATTTAAATTGAATTGGAAATATTAATAATTGAATTATTATGCTATAGAAACGTATGTAAAAAAATGTAAAGTGAAAAAATAGACTTTACCCATGTTTTATCAAATAAACTATATACAGGGTGGCGCCTCTCATATGACGCGGAGGCTCCAAGGAGAACGACGGCGCGGCGGCGGTTTGTATTTAAATGAAATTTTTTGAGTATATCTAGGTTAATTTTTATATATTTTTTAAAAATTAGTTCAACTTTAACAGCTAATTAATTATCATATAGTGTCAGTTAAAACAAAGAGAAAATTATCTTATTTTAAAAACTTATCCTACATCAGAGAAAATTGATATGATTCTATTGATTGGCGACTGCAGTGTGCATTCACCAATTAATAGAATGCATAAATCAGGGCTTCAGTGCTCCTGAGTTATGTAGTCTGGACTTTTTTATGAGGATATGTTAAAGGCAGTGTTTACAAAACTCGACCTAATATTTTCAACAATATGGATGAAATGATTGTGGCTGCTTTTCGAAGTACAACTCCACATATGCCTGTTAACATGAAAAGATCTTTTGAAAAGAATACTATTTTCTGCAGTGAACAGGATAGGAAGCATTTTGAACATTTGATTTCATCTAGCTAACTTTCATCACATAATTATATGTTTATATCTAGTTTTAATCCTGTAACAATTAAAATATATTTTAACGTGTTCATTACCACTGAATATTTTCCTCTACATTCTTTACTTTTCCTTGAACTAGCAAAAGGTACCGTATGATTGAAAAAAAAACGGAGTCAGCGATAGCTATGAAATGAAGATCGCTGTCATTTTATATGTAAAATTATATGGGGAATATGATGTTCATTTCCAATAGTAGGTACCTATATCACAGCGCTGTGACATACCTTTGCTGACGTAGAATCATAAAAATGAAACTATCTGTGAAAATCATTGTCTGAGGGGGTAGGAAAACTTCATAATATTTTGAAGATATATGAAATCTCCACTGAATATAGGAATAATATACTGGGTGTTCTATTTAAAATATATAGCCTTTAAAAGTGACCAATGTTCAATATTAATTTTGTCTCACCCGTTATAACTTTTCGGATCAAATTTTAATTTGGTTTAACATACATTGGTTAATTTAACTAAATATTAGATTATACAGAGTAAATAGCTGTTATTGAAATTTGAGATTTATTCTTCATTTTCAAAAATATAAAATACATATATCAAAAATCTTACATTTAAGAAGGCATTAATGAGAAGGCTTCTTTAATGAAACTCAACTTTATTTTTCCTAGAATCCAAAAATCAATTAATATATAGGTTAGTTTAATGTTTTATACTTGACTTTTTTGTACACCCTGTGGAACTCTATATATTTTTATAAAATGCTTTCAAGTAACCTATATATTTTATTATGTTCCCAAAATTTCATTTCATTATAAACTACCTTTCTCCTTGGAGCGCCCTAGTCGTATGAGAGGCGCCACCCTGTACAAGGAATAGTTTTCAAACATTTGTCTTAAAGCCACTTTAGAAAAACATCTCAAAACTAATGAATAATTAACTTTAGTTTGAAACAAAGGAGACTACATCTCACTAGAAATGGATTTAATCATGGGATAAAGTAGCTTTTGTAGTTGTTCTGACTTTCAGTTATTACAGTCCAAAGTTTAGCATTTTGCTTTGACTAAGTATTTGAAATGGCTAAAGGTTAGAAAAGCTGGAAACTAGATTTTAGGTATAATAGAGTTCTAGAAGAATTATTATTGACAAATATCTAATGACATAGCATAATATAAAATAAATACATTAAAATTTTTGTAATCTTCCTATTCAGTTAAATAAATTTAAGCCATACTTTTAACATTTTAAGGCCGTGGCCCAACATAGCTGGAAGCGTAGAGTAGTAACAGTAGTAAAATACGCTTCAATCCACAACATGCTTCGCTGTATGTGGTACTTCGATTTACTTAAGTCGACGCTTTTAATGCATTTAAACGCTTCGCGATCCTCTCCGCTCTACGCTACACTGTACTAATACATATTTGTTTATTTTCAGTATTTTTTTCATAAAAAATTATTTTATTTATTTCTAATCATGTGAATAAAGTGCCTTTTATCTATTTTATTTATTGAATTGATTAAAATACACATTGAAAATTTACACTATATAATAAAAAAATAAAGTCTCTTTAGTAAGCTCGATAAAATTTTCATACGCAATTTTACGCAATTGGAATGGCTCACAATTTTTCCTTTTATTATTGGATGACAATCAAATTTCCACGATCAAAACTGGATGCGATATTGAAAACTCAATTCATGCAGAAAACAATTTTTTAACTCTTTTGCTATTTACTATCTGTTTGACATCAAAGACTTTATTATTTGTTATTTGATGGGGTAGTAAAGTTAAAATGAAACAGATCTAGGTTATATTCAGCTTTTTTAATAATTAAACAATAAATAATGAACGAAGCAACATCGAAACACTTAATGTCAAAAGTTGACATATGATATGTCATTCTATTGAGGGTGTCGAGGTATTGAGGGCGACTAAAGTAAAAAAAATACCGAGGATGCCATTTAAAAATCAAAACAACTTTTTTCCAAAGCCTACCATCACTTCCCTGAATCATCATTTCTTGTTCACTGTTATTAATATCTTAATTCTTAGATATTAATACCTCTGATATTATGGTATTCTGGTATTTCGTCCATTTTAAAATAAACTAACATTTTAAAATTCTATCTTATTTTTTTATTAGAATGGGCATAATTAAGAGGGCTACTGACACCGTGTTGTAAAAATAAGGTAATTATAAGGGCTTATTTTTTGGTATTTATTATAATTTTGCTAATATCTTCGGTTTGAAAGAAGATAACAAAATGCGATTTTCGCTGACTTTTAAAGCTTTTACTACTCTTTACTATCAGCTAAAATTACATATACTATTGCATTTAATTTTTTTGAAAAAACGCGCAATGTTTGTTAAATTGTAAGACAACGTCCCCTAGCGTCTACGTTCAAAAGTTTATTATTATTGCTTATATAGTACAATATAAAGTAAGAAAAGCTCTTTTAAACGAGCCCTCGCTTGTTGGATTCCGATCATCCAGTCCAGAGTTATATATATTTAAATAAAAACAGATCTAACCTTCCCCCACCACTTTATTTTGGTAGATAGGGGAAAATGGCTTTAATAAAAAATATTCAAAATTTACTGAGGATTATGAAGCTAGTACTTATAGTACACCTTATTTAGGCAAAATTGTGTAAAAATTCCATTTTCATATTTTTTGTTGCAGTTGCGCCCCCTAGCGGTCGTTATACAAACTTGAAAGTAATTTCCAGCAATTTCTCCTAGCCCCTTTAGTTATAAATATTTTTTTCTGTAAACCCTACGGCTAATACTTTCCGAGATACAGCCGAGAGCTATTCTTAGTGGGACACCCGGTACATTTTCTTGGCAGTCGTTGGACATCAGCCGACTATATTTATGTGGCAGACATAGGCAGCCTTCAGTCATTGGCAGTCGCTTGACAGTAAAATGATATTTCGGTATATATTTAGTTATATCTTTTACCCCAGTGAGACACCCCTCGATCATAATCATATAAAATCGTTAAAAAACATTTTCAGTAAATAAGTGGCAACCTAGCATTTTTCTGTCGATATCTGGTTTGGTTGTCTTGGGTACCTTTATTTTGTACAGTAAGATTTGTTTATGTATACTATTTATTACAGATAAAAATAATGAAAATTTGGCACTACAGTTTTCTTTCAAATTATACATTGTATACATATTTAAAAAAAACTGTTCACAACCTTTTTTACCATCATTTTCGACTTTACAATAAACTTTTCATTTACTTAAATCAATCTCTTGAGCAAATAAAATTTAAAGACAGAAAAATTCAAAGAATTCATTTTCTTTTTTGCTTTATTAAATTATGAACACTTCTGATAAATTTCAAACATCAAAAGCTGGAAATTCTTCAAGCGAAACAAACGGACTTGAAATAAGGAGAAATAAATTTAATAAAAACGTATTTTATAGAAAAGGTATATATTCGTATTATTAAAATTAGAAAAATATCTAGCATTGAACCAATTCAGATTATCTAATTGTAAATTGTAAAGCCACTGTAAGAATATAAATATCTGCTTTTCATACAGAAATTTATTATTATTAATTATAATTTTTATAACTCCTTAACAAAATAGTCTTTAAACTTTAAAGAAAACACGAATTTAACAATAACAATAACAATAAACAATTTAGTTTTGATTTATATAACCAAACCTAACAAAAGGAAATTTACTCAGTATTTGCTTCCAAACATCCAGTCTCCCGCTCTCAGGTATATCCTTAAAAACCAACTTTTCTCCTATATCCAGAACTTTTAAGTTAGACCCATTCCTGAGGGGTTCCCATGTGATTTGTAAATCGTCTCCAGGTGTGGGGTTGCCAAATTTAGCAAAATTCGTCCACAATCGCACGAAAGTTTTCATCGACCTTTCTTCCAGACTATTTTTTTGAATGTCGGGAGTTATATCGGTGTGAAACAGGTAGCCCAAGTCATCAGCATGACTTACACCTAAATAAATTACAATATATATTAAAGCAAAATTGTTTCAAATTTAAAATATGAAGCGAGACAAATAATTTATTATATATTTTCTCTTTGTTAAACACTACATACTCATCACATTACTAGAGACTACATAATTTTCATCAGATTGATAAATATTTACCTGGATCATTTATTTTCTTCATTAAACGCTTTAAATGGTTCAACTGAGTACAAATCGAGACTCTGTACAGATAAATTGGATTTTGAGCTGTAGCCAGATGCATTTTAATAGATTCAATGATTCCTACCAGAAAACAGCTGTCAGTAGCTTCCTAAAATATGGTATTCAAATTTAAACAATAACAGACTCCATGTTTTTATATTTTCTTACATCATATCGACGAGAATTTTTCTCATTTTTGTATAATTTCTCGAGTTTATCACAAATTGTCTTTGTCTCGGTTGCTGGTACATTTAACTCGTAAGGAATGTATTTTTCCATCTTGGTCTCAGGTACAGGAATTCCAAACTGTTTCATTACCATCTTGTCTAGGTCGTACAACATGCCTTCCGTGTCTGTGTATCCAAAAACCAGGGGGACCTGGTTATAGCTTCCTTCTTTCATTATGCCTACCGGTGATTTGGTCAGAAATCCATCTGGATTCGGTGTTTCTACTACTACAGAGAAAGGTCTGTTTTCTGCTGGAAAAAGTACCTAAAATTACACATATTCGGTAAATCACCAAGTGCAAACAGATATAATAAAAACGATTTAAATGTTTCAACATTGTGTAGTTTATTAAAAATAACACACACAATGTGTAATTACAAAGAATAGTACAGGGATAATACAACAGTACATAAAACAAAAAGAAACACGGTTAAATGGAGGTAAAGATGGAGGTGCAATATCATGCTGATCAAAATGCCACCTTAAAAGTTTAAAAATTTCCAATACTAATTTAAAAAAACGAATATCCGCAATTTCATTTCCAATTTTTTATGACTCTCTTTAAATAGAAATAACAATATAAATCTCACATTTCAATTCTACCTTATTGCAACTATGTTTTGTTCTACGAGATAATGTTATCAGTTATCAGACTTTCAAACTGACCTTTTGTCTTTAAGCTGTCATGATTTTTGTTTGCTTTTTCAAATACAGTCCTGGATTTTTATTAGGGATTTCGAAAGCTTTAAGATACCAAATCCAATCATATGTCGGACTTATTCGAAAAATTTATATTATTATTTTCTTTTAAGAGATATTAAAAAAAACGATTCTCTATCTATGTCTCATGGAAAATGTCATTAATACGAATTTTTCCAATAGCGCGATTATTGGTTTTGAGACTTTAGAAGTCCCGAGAGAACCAGAGCTGTGTTTAAAGAATAAAAGTTGATTATGATAGCTCAAAGTCAAAAATCTGCCATCTTATAGAACAAAAAAAGTAGCAATGAGAATGTGAAATTTATTTTGTTATATCTATTCAACTAGAGTAATAAAAAATAAAAATGAAACGCCAATATTGTTTTTTTTTCAAACATTTTCGGAAGTATTCGAAATTTCTAAAATGTTGTGGCTTTTTGACCAGTATCAACATTTTATCTTCAATTAACCGACTTCGTATTTCTTCTAGCTTACTAGAACCCGATGCTGAAGCTTGAATTCGGACACCGGTAAAGTGAATTCATACATTAGAGTCTATTACGCTGTACTGTTCGGGTGTCGCTCTCAGGGATCGGGTAAAGTGGGTGTACGGCCGAAGGAAATATACCTATATAATATATCTGAAATCTGCCTAAGACTTAGCCCAATCCTGTCGTGTTAAGCAACACCCAAAATTCCAAACACACGTACTTTGATTAAGGCTTAATTAAGGTTTGCAGAGGTTCAGCATTTGCTATAAAATAACGAGCAATTTGTTACAAAACCATATCAATTATATATGACTGTAATTACAAAACTTCAATCTATTTCCGTATTGTAACGGAATTTTAAATTATATCTTTATTTTCGAGCAAATTTAGTCCAAATATAAGGAATATTTTGTTGATGTTTGACCATCAAAATCTTAAAATAAAGAAGTTGTCTAAAAATGTGCTACAATACGGATATGGTATAATCGTTTATCTTTAATTTCCTTCTTCGTTTGTATAAAAATACCTAGTCAGTTTTACATAAAACGTTAAATGCCGAACGCTTATTTTGCTACTTTTTCGGACTAGTCAAATGGACTCTTAAGGCCCTATATGACAAAAACGTATCCAAATAACTTCGATTATAAAAAAGTATGTATCTATCAGGAGTTGTAGTGAATATTACATTAGTAAGACAAAAAAAAACTTAAAATAAAGTATATAGAAAGAATATTAAACTCATACTAGTATGGTAGATAATAGGTTTGTTCCCACAAGCATTCAAACCGCTCAGAAACTTGTTAAATGCAGTTGATCACACCAAGTCATAGATATGACGTAAACAAAAAACACATAGATTACTAATTCGGTTAACTACTTTAGACAGTTTTCTGATAGGTATGGATGCTTATGGGAATAAACCTAATAGGAGATGGCAGAACATGATTCGTAAAATTCAACATCGAACTCAAGTGTCAGTGTAATGTCAATTGTCAATTGTAAATATAGACTTTCTTTGTCATTTCCATTAATATACGAATCAATGACTAAAGAATATAAGGACATGTAACGCCCCTAACGGGCTGCAGCAGAATTTGTGACCTTTTTTTTGTTTTGTTGGCAAACATAGAGTCATCATTTGGTCACCAGCGACAATTTTAGCGATTTTTAATAGTTTGTGTGTAGTAAACTTTGTATAAACTTTATTACAATGGTGATTAGTTGTTCAGCTTTCAAGTGTAAAAGCAGCAGCGATAAGAAAGAGCCAGGAGTTACGTTTCATAGGTAAATAAACAGTCCACACCAACTTTTTAGCGTTTTCTTATTGAATTCGATAATTATTCTTCAATTTCAATTAACATCTATATGTACTTGATATGTGCTATACGTCGATACTAGTTTTGTACCTTTAGTTAACATTTTAATACGTTTTTTTCGTAATTAATTAGGATGATACACCATAGGAGTAGTCAAAACAATTATCAAAAAATATAAATATTGCTTCAAACAGCTAGGTTAAGAAAAATATGTGCCACGGCACTGTTTGGTGACAGCGTCACAATTTGCTCTCTGATGTTATTTGTCCTCGGATTCTTTAGTCATTGATACGAATGGTATAGAGGGGAGTGGTGGATGTCCCTTTTTAATTTGACACATAATACACGTACATTAAAAAAACACAAATACCTATTCATATAAAAAAAATCACAATTTTCTGTTTCCAAAAGAAAAAATCGATGGAGCATTGCAGATACACCATATATTGACCGTATTCAGAGAGCAACTACTTCTAGTTGATAAAATACTAATATAATTTTTACATGGAGATAAAGAATAGTTAAAAATAATATAAACACATTATATTTGGATTTAAACCATTATTTTGAAGTTATATTATCTAATTTTTGAAAGAATATTAAAATATGTTTTACTCAGGTTACGTCTGATATTTCACTAACACAGTTTTTGTGTTTTTGGATTTCGATCATCAATGCAATTAATATTTTTTTTATAATTTGACTAACCCAATAATTAAAAAAACATAGTATAAATTATTTGAATCGACAACACTAGAAATTAGATATAAAAAATAAATATACTTACATCTCCCATTTTTTCTTGAGCATTAAAAATATCCAGAGCAGGTGCCGTTTTTAGTATTTCCAAAGCTTCTTTATCATTTTTAGCATCCTTTCCCATCAACTTCACTAAATTCCTGGCATTGTCCTTGCTTCCCCAAACCCATGAATTGAGACAGCATCCACTTTGGAGTATAGCTCGGTGGAATAAGCCTCTTGACGCTGGAGACAGTACGTGAGCATGAACTGATGCAGACCCAGCGCTTTCACCAAAGATCGTTACATTATTTGGGTCCCCACTGAAGTTTTTGATGTTCTTCTGAACCCATTTCAGGGCCATGCATTGATCTTTGAAACCATTGTTGCCTGGGACGCCCAAAGATTCGTCACTTAAACTCAAAAACCCTAAAAATGGATATTATTATCATATTATGTCGATTATATTTTTTTATAATAGTTTTATGTTACCTAAAACACCTAACCGGTAATTGAAAGTTACCAAAACTATGTCTTGCAAAAGCAAAAATTCTGGACCGTAGAGTCCTGGTCTACTTGATCCAATTGTTAAACCACCTCCATGGATATATACCATGACAGGCTTTAAAGTTAAGGTGTGTTTGGATAGCTAAAATAAAAATAATTGTTGATTAAAATTTTTTTGGAATTAGTAAAAATTAAAATTAGAGCTAAAGTAATAATTCTTATATTATTAAATATTTAGAACTCTATATTACATTATCAAATTCTTTAAGAAATAATGAAACACAAGTTAAAAAAATCTATAAAAGATTTCATATGATATAATGATACACAGAGTGATCCCAAAATTGTCTCTTGTATTCCGGAAACTGCAGATAAAAATAAGTAAAAAGTTCGTATTAATGTATGTCCTAAAAAGCTTAGTTTCGGAGAAGCATAAAAAATAAATGCTTTAAAAAAATGCTTTACTTCGGTAGAAGTTTAATTTTTATTTCGATTTTTTCCAAAAAATTATTGAAATAATGTCAATATTTTGATAAAAATTGGTGCCCTGAGTTTTTTGAGAATTTTGATTTTGATGTCAAAAAGACTCCTAGTTATAGGGGGCGCCACCTACATGTGTTTTAACTGTTTTGAAGAGTAGATAATAATTTTTCGTTCGTACCTTTATAAAACCACTGGGTAAAAAAATACATGTTAATGATTTTTTACGTAAAAAAATGTCTCTTGGTAAAAATAGCTACGAGCAACCGTTCACAGAATATTTAGAATGGAAATAGTTAATACATATCATTATTGACAAAAAATAAATATGTTGAGTAGATAGTTATTTGACTGAAATGATATATTTGTGAACTTTTTTTTTAAATAATGATAAATTTTTCTTCCAAAAAATGACGATAAATCCGAGGATAAAACTGTTTCTGTTGAACTTTCCAAAAGCATTTCCGGCACAAAAACATTTCAAATTTATGATTTCAGTCTAATAACTATTTCTAGTCAACATATTTAATTTATATCAATGATGACAGGTATTGATAATTTCGGTTCCCAATATCTGGAGAAGCATTACTCGTGGCGATTTATGTGATATGTAAAAAACGTCGGAAATGTATATTTTTTACTCAGTAGTTTTATACAGGTATGGAGGAAAAGTTATTACCCTACTATTATATTTATTTTAAAAAATTTTCAATATAACCTTGATTCAGATATCGACAATTATTAATAATACTCACATATTTTGTGTAAACATTTACAAATAAGCAATCTTCATTTCCAACCAGCTCTCTAGTTAGATCGTCTCTAGATATACTTGGATTTCCAGGTTTTGTAGCATCTCTAACATCATTCCATGGTCCTATAGGCTCTGGAGGCTAAAAAAATGAAAAATAATGTGAATAGTAATAATTTAATTCCAGATAGTTAAAATCTAACTTTATTAGTAATAATAGTTATTTAGTAGATTTATAAATTATATAAATGCTATAAATGTAAAGCCAAAAGATTAGCAAGAGACAAAAATAAATGGAAACAATTTGTGTATATTGTAGCAATTTAGTGAATTTATTTAATTTAGCATACCTTACACCTTCGGACAGAAAGGTTTTTGATTAGATATATAAAAAAATAAACAAATATATGTAAACTAATTACCTTAAATCTCAATTCGTTGACTGGAGGTTTGGCATAAGGTATTCCCAGAAATTCATAAATTGTTTCACCATCATAATTTGTTCCTTTAAATCCTCTAATCTTGCCCTCCTTGATTGAAATTACTGGGTCATTTGTATCAGCCATTATTCTATAATTGTTTATATATTAATCAACATCACAAGCTTTAAAATACTATGTAAAAATTAGAGTGAGTTAAATAAGCCTAAATTTTTTTAAGTAATCTTAGTAAATTAAATTATTTTACTTGGAATACCGAGATTTTACGTGTTCTTTAAAAAACTGAATGGAGTGAAAGTAGACTTGTATGCGCAAGCTGAATTTTATTATACTGTCGGTGTCAATATCAAGGTTTTCTAGACTGGGAATAATAGAAGTAATATCGCCTGCACTTGATAATGGTTAATGGTTAAATTAATAATTCTTATCTTTGTGTATTTTGTTGCTTATTAAGTAAAGTGTATTTTAGCGGTTTTAAAAGATATTTTGGATAAAAAAAACATCAATGACATCAATATTATTAATAATATAATACAGAGTACAGCAATAGTGGGTCGGGCATCTACATATAGCTCCTAGAATAAAAAAAACTTGTGAATTTGGTTAAAGTATGTACTGGGATGAATTTCAGGAAAATATTTTAACATCTACAGGGTGGCTCAAAAATGTGTGAGTGGAGCGGGATGATTTTTTTTAAAAACACCCTGTATATTATTGTATGTTTGTTTTCCTCTCAAATCGCATTTCATAATCCTAAGATATGAGTAAATGTATTTCGATAGTTTCAGAGATATTAATAAATAAATAAAAACAAACTTTTTTTCTCAACGTTTTAAAAAAATACAAATACATAGGGCTGTCCTGAAATCAAAACTATATTAGATATATACTTACTTTAAATATGGTCAATGCTTACTTTGCTATAATATCGTAATCTTAAATTATATAGGATGTTCAAAATTTTGCGCCAAACTTTCTAAAATATAAAATAATTTTTCTTCTTACACACTCTGTATATTTTTTTATTATCGAGAATTAAAAAATAAACATTTTTTGCATTTAGAGTACTTCAAAATGTTTAATGGTTTTGCATATACACGCAGTATTATTTCATATGGCTCTCAACGGTAAAATACGAGAGAAAAATCTTTAGGCTTTGATTAAAATTTATTTTGGAAAATGCCATTATAAAATATAAAAAATGAATGTATTATTTCTGCGAAACCGCTAAAAAATAAAAAAACTCTCTTTAAGAAATACTCTAAATACAAAAAATGCTCATTTTTTAATACTCCATAGAATAAAAATATAATATACATGTGTTCCATTAAAAAAAAATCGAAGAAAAATTATTTTATATTTTAAAAAGTTTCGCGTAGAATTTTGAACATCCTGTGAGATTTAAGATTACGATATTTATAGTATAGTAAGCACCGACCATTAAGTAAATACCTAATATTAGTTTTGATTTCAGGACAGTTCTTGTATTTTGAATATTTTCTTTTAAAGACTGAAAAAAAATATATTTTTATTTAGTTATTAATATCATTGAAAGTATCGAAACATATTTACACAAATCTTAGGATTATGTAAGGTGATCTGGAACGAAGCCAAAATGCAATAATACACGGGGTGCTCCATCATCCCGTTCCGCTCACACTTTTTTCAGCCATCCTGTAGAAGTTAAAAAAAATTCCTTGAACTACATCCTAATACATACTTTAGGTCTGCACTTAATTAAAATTTCTAATTTTTTTTTATTCTAGGATGCCCAAAGCACTGTTGCCGGACACTGTATATTATACAAATTTGATAAAAAAAATTATTTTTATGTTAAATAGTGACAGAATAGCTTATTATATGTCGTTTACTTATTTTTTAGTATGTTTTAATCCAATTAAATTACTGTTTTATAGTATGTCTTAATTTATTTATCATTATGTCAATGGTACAACTCAAAAAAAATATTATATATTATAAATTTTAGCTAAATATTTGTTTAAGAATATTCCTCCGTGTATTTTTTTGTTAATGTTACTTAAACTTTAGACATAAAATTATTTCTAACTCATTCAAAGTATTTGTGAATTAATTCTTGTTCCAGAAAAATATTTGCCTTCGGCAAAATCTTTTAAGATATTTTCCATTAAAAGTAATTTCAACAGAGTAATATGGAAGTCCAACTCAAACCAAACCAAACCAAACAAATGATTAAAACGCCCACGTAGACAAAGAAATTTATTTAAGAAATTTTAATTAAGAGATGGGTCTATAAAAACAAGTTATTCTTCAGAAATGCCCTAAAAACCATCATGCGATACATTTTTTTTAAATTTAATACAAGAATTGTTCAAAATTATTATAATTCCTGTTTAAATTAATATGAAACTACTTTATTTTTCCATTTTTTTATATTCTCTAAATATGTATTACTGTATTACCCGAGGTATTACCTTAATACACAGGGTCGCTTTTATGCATGGAAACGGTCGTTTATTAGGTAAAATATAGGAGATACCGCAAAAAGTTAAATACAAAATTTATAGGATTTTTAAATATATATTAGCAAGTAATAAATTAAATTTAGTAAATATACAGCGTCGTTCATAAAGTCGTGGCACATCAAAGTTTCATTTTTTTAAATAGAACCCTCTCTATATTATTACATATTTCAATTATTATTTCTTCAATTCTAAGCAAAAATCGAAATACACACAATGTACTTCAAACCAACCGTTTCCGAGTTATTTACTTTTGAAAATATCACTTAAACAATTCGATTTAATTAATTTCGATGTGTTTGGTTTTATTAATGATGCCATTCTGCCGAAACTGTGATGCTGTTGCAATGAGTTTTTAAATTTCTATTAGCTACTAGTAAATTGTATACAGGGTCGGTCATGAAGTTGTGTCACATCACTTTTTATTTTTTTTTTAAATGAAACTCTCTGTATATTCTTGCATATTTCAATTCTTTCTTCAATTTTAAGCAATAGTCGTAATACACAATGTACATAAATTGAAGAATTGAAATGTTAAACAAAAATTTTGTAATTTCCACAGACTTGATATACTCTCATTTTATACATCTATGAATGCTAACTTGAGAACTAATGTCAAATATTATTAAGTATCACAGTTTCGGCAGAATGGCATCGTTAAATGAAACTGAACGTATCGAAATTAATTAAATCAAATTGTTTAAGTGATATTTTTAAAAGTCAATAACTCGGAAAGGGTTGGTTTGAGGTACATTGTGTGTATTTCGATTTTTGCTTAGAATTGAAGAAAAAACTGAAATATTCAATAACATGCAGGGGGTTCCATTTAAAGAAATAAAACTTTGATGTGCCACGACTTTATGACCTACCCTATACCGTGCTGGCAACTGTTACTTTTGGGTCGGCATATACACGTGGAAGTAAATCGCATAGGGATCTTATTAAGCCCGAGATTAAGCCGGAGTGAGAGAAATGCGACGGTGTGCTGTTGCGGCGTTGCCGGTACGCCTTTCCCTATCAAGTAAAGTAAAATCACGATTGCAAACCGCTTATTTTTAAAAGACTTTTTTTTCAAGAAACAACTAGATAAAATCATTTTACATGTTTCTGAGCATCTGAAATTGAATTATAAGGATATCGTTATGGTGTCATTTTTTTTATAACGAGAAAACGTCAGTAATCGCGATAATTTAAAAACTCAACTTTTTAACACATAACAGGGCATAACTCTAGAACAACTTTAGATATTGAAACATTCTTTTTTATTTTCAAGATCGGATATTTTACAATATGTTTACATAAGAAAAATTCGATAAGGTTGTTTTTTCCATTCAAAAATTGTAAACAATCCATCCATTTACTTTTAGAGCACAGCAATTTTCAGCAATGGTGTAATTTTTTTATTGATAAAGATTTTCACATGCTGTCTACAAAGAAAATACAGCAGAAATATTAACAAAGTTCATGAAAAAACTACAATCTATTATTTCTAATAGATTTCGAGATATCGATTTTTGAATTCAGAGTTCTAATAGCGCGACCACTATCGAACACCCACTCAATTCCACTTATTTTTACCAAAAATGCAAGTGTTTCTAGCTTGCACTTTAAAAAGTTCAAGGTATAGGGAAAATTACAACGACTCGTTAATAAATAAACAAATTAAGTATTACGAGACGCAATTAAATCGTGAAGCTGAACGCATGACGTACACCTTTCCCTAGAACTTTAAGTACTGACAGAGGTATTGATTGGGTCGACCGACCAACTGCGACACTTGTGTCGAGCCCTAGCAGGCAACTGTTAAGCCCGACCAATCACGTTAGAGTTTTTGACAAACACAAATGAATTAACACACTCCAAATAACCACGCTAACCAACCTGATTGGTCAAGCTTAATAGTTGACTGCTAGGACTAGACACTTCTAACTGCGACAAATCTGCTTATCCCCTTCCACGTCTCTTAGCGATATGCACAGTTTCTCGGTTTATTTCCTACGTTTGGCAACGTGTTTACTGTCCTCTCTTTGTTCAATACATTATAAACGCATTGTACTCTTTTTGCATACGGAAATCTCGACCCAAGACTAACCTTTGCCAGGCTTTAGTATACTTAAATTTATAACCTGCTAATAGATATTTATAAACCCTATAACTTTTATATTTAACTTTTTGCGGTACCTCCTATATTTTACCTAATAATCGACAGTTTCCATACATAACAGCGACCCTGGGTGAGTCTTAAATAAGTGCAAATATTTTCAGGGCTGGTATAGAAGATAAAGGAAACATATTTTCTCTTTACCGTTTTTCTAATAACTTCAAAATAATTGAGTTATTTTACTGTGAAATTTTCCAAAAAAAAATATTTTTTTCTTACATTTTCAGAACCACTGTATTTTTTCTGTATTTTCTTTCTTGTAAATTTAATATACTACCCATGTTACCATATTATCAAGAAATTATGTTTTTTTTTTTATTAAATTAAAAATTTAAATTATGTTTTTTAACTAAAATCTAAGAAAATTTCCAAAAAAATTTTCAAAAAAATCCAAATTTTCAAGAAAAAAATTTCGCGAAAATAACCTCAGGATCATGTTTCTGGGGTCGAAATATACTACGCCTAAAAATATTTGCACTTATTTAACAGACTGTTTGGTTTTATTAACAGACTGGTGGTTTTTCGAGAAGCGGTGTAGTTTTCGGATTTCTTGGATTCATAAAGTTACAAATATCGAAGTTTTACGCCGTATGAACAAGCAAGAAGAAATATATAAAACCCTTAAGAGTAATTTGCACCCTTTGAATAATTTGCACATGTTATAAGAGGTCCTAAATACCAATTGATCCAGAATATTATGGAAGGAAAAATCCAAGGAAAACGTAGTCGAGGCAGAAGACGAACATCCTCCTGAAGAACCTCAGAGAATGGTATGGAATGACGTCGAATGGATTACTTAGAGCAGCCGCAAATATAATCAAAATAGCCGTGATGATTGCCAACCTCTGTTAGGAGACGGTACTTGAAGAAGAAGAAATATGTACATTATATGATTATTTTGAAGTGATTAATAGTTATCAATATAAAAATAATGAGTAGCTAAATCTCACAATTTTTTTATTAAGTTTAAAGAATTACTCTACATAACAAATCATCAAATCATACTTGTATAAAAGTTTTAACAAAAAAATTGAATTTGCGATTTTTCTATTTCACTTCAAAAAAGTTTTAAAGAACTCATCACATATATTTTATACATTGCAGTTTGAATTGTTTTGAAACATTTCTATGAATTTCAATGGAAAGCCAGAAAATTGCACTTTTAGAAGTAATATCTTTTATAGTTGAATTCTGAAATGTCTCTATTTCGCATGTATATGTATGTACATATATTTTGTCTAAATGTTATTCGTATGGCTTTATATGAATGCGCGCATGGAAGGAAATATAATATACATTTTTGTTTAATATAAATTAGAAATAAAATTAGCATAAAAAATTCCATACAGGACATAGTATATTAAAGATTTCTTTGATATAAAATACACCAGGTATGCGTCTCGAAAGTGGCTCGCCCCTATAACTTTTTTCAGATAAAAAAACGAGATTTGGTATGTTAGGTCTAATGTTTTTCGTGTCGTGTCCTGACCGGTTAAAAGATACCAAAATCGTAGTCTTAATCATATCTCAATTTTTCAAATAATATAACAATGTTATCCAATTAACATATTTGGAAAAAGCATTTTTTACGAATAATTTGGTACCACAGAGTTGGTAAATCGATTCAAATTGTCGTTATGAACCGCCTGTTACAAATTAAAATAAACCATATGCGAAAATGTCAAAATTTGACATACGATATGTCATTTTATTCAGAGTGTTATTTTCTATCGAATAGACTAACAAAATACCGAGGGTTAAAAATCAAAAGTTGTAGTCATTTCCTGTGAGAACAGTTTGAAACAGGAAGTGACCAAGAACAATAATTGAATACGCCAATTATTTTTTTTTATCTAAAAAAATAAAAAAGTTATAGGGGTGAGTCACTTTTGAAACGCACCCGGTATGGTATAAAAATAATAAATTGTGTTTAAGAATAAAAAAAAAACTGTTAAAAAGAAAAAAAACATTAAAATAATATACTGACTTTATTTGAAACATGTACACCTTTAAATTCCGTATATTAAAAATACAGAGTGTGTAAATTCTGTATATTAAAAATACAGAGTGTGTAAATTCTGTATATTAAAAATACAGGGTGTTTCAATTAACATATGCCAACAAGCTCTCATGGAAAATTTCCCGTATAAATAAGATTTATAGCTACAGATTATTTTGTAGCTACAATAGGTTAAAGTCTTCATTTCTTTCCATTTATTATAATTATTTTTTGTGCTTTTAAGTGCTCGAATCAAATCATGAGGGTATAAGGTATATAAGTGCTACATATTTTATACTATTAAAAAAGTGTTGACAGCTTCACCAGGGACGTGTATATGGCTTATCAGTGGAATATTTTTCTAAAAAAGTATGTGCGCTCCTGACTTTTTTCTATTGTTAGCAAAATTGTGTATGTCGTTTAATGCTGATTAAAAGTTGTATCTTGATATTTTGTCGATTTGGTGAGTGAGGAGTATTTTTCTGTTTACGTATATCTTGGATATATAGGGTATCTTTATTTTGTACATTAAGATTTGTCTATGTATATTATTTGTCAGAGATAAAAATAATAAAAATTTGACATTACAATTTTATTTCAAATTATACATTGTGTCCAAGCTTAAAAAATACTAATGCCTTTTTTATCAATATTCATTTACTTAAATCACGTTTATCTAAGTAAAATTTAAAGACGTTAACTTTCTGTGTTGCTTTATTAAATTTATGAACAATTCGAAAAAAATTTCAAATATCAAAACCTGGAAACATGTTATAATCATAAGGAAATGTAACAATGTTTATACTTATTTAACAAAATAGTCCTTAAACTTTAAAGAAAACTTAAATTTAACAATACAAAACAATTTAATTTTGATTTACGTAACCAAACCTAACAAAAGGAAATTTATTCAGTATTTGCTTCCACACATCCAGTCTCTCGCTCTCAGGTATATCCTTGAAGACCAACTTTTCTCCTATATCAAGAAGTTTTAAACTAGACCCATTCCTGAGAGATTCCCATGTGATTTGTAAATCGTCTCCAACAGTGGGATTGCCAAATTTAGCAAAATTCGTCCACAACCGAACGAAACTTTTCATCGACCTTTCTTCCAGACTATTTTTTTGAATGTCGGGAGTTATCTCGGTGTGAAATAGGTAGCCCAGGTCATCAGCATGACAAACACCTAAGGAAACAACAATAAATCTATTAGAGCAAAATTGTTTCAAATCTAAAATATGAAGCGGGACAAATAATTTATTTTCTATTTTTTTCATTGTTGAATACCACCAACAATATAATGACAAATAGTTACCTGGATCATTTATTTTATTCATTAAACGCTTTAAATGGTTTAATTCAGTACAAATCGAGACTCTGTACAGATAAATTGGATGTTGAGCTGTAGCCAGATGCATTTTAAGAGATTCAATGATTCCTATCAAAAAACAGCTGTCAGTTGCTTCCTAAAATATGTTATACAAACTTAACGGTAACAATCTTCAAGTCTTTACATTTTCTTACATCATATCGACTAGCATTTCTCTCATTTTTGTATAATTTCTCGAGTTTGTCGCAAATTGTCTGTGTCTCGGTTTCTGGCACATTTATCTGATAAGGAATTAATTTTTCTATCTTGAACTCAGGTACGGGAATTCCAGACTGTCTCCTTAGCATCTTGTCTAGGTCGAACAACATGCCTTCTGTGTCTGTGTATCCAAAAACAAGAGAAACTTGGTTATAGCTCCCTTCTTTCATTATGTCTACCGGTGATTTGGTCAGAAATCCATCCGGATTTGGTGATTCTATTACTGCTGAAAAAGGTCTGTTTTTTGCTGGAAAAAGTACCTAAAATGACACCATATTCGGTAAATCACTCGATCAAACAGATATGATAAAATCTATTTAAAAGTATCAACGCACTGTGTAGTTTATTAGAAATAATACATTGTGTCATTACAAAGAATAATACAGGGTGACCCAAACCCTCATCAGTGCGATTTTGGAAATTAGAAGAGATACGGTTAAATGGACGCAAAATTGCGCAACGTGCTGCTGATCAAAACACAGCCATAAATTTTTAAAAATTCTCAATACTAATTTTTGACAAAAAAAAAGAATATCCGCTGTCATTCTCATTTTTTGAATGCCTCTCTTTGGATAGATAATATAATGACATACACTTCACATTCTCAACGCAACTATTTTTTATTCTAAAGATGATGTTATTATACTTTCAAACCGACCTTTTGTCTTTGAGCCGTCATTATCAAGTTTGTATTTTCAAATACACACCGGGATTTTTTATTAGGGATATCGAGAGCTACTAATATACCAAAACCAATATGTTGATAAACCATATATTGAACTTATTCGAAAAATTATATTAATGATTTTCTACCAAGATATTTATTTTTATATCTATTCTCTTTTAGTTTCTAATACATATATGTTGTAATTGAAAATTAAAATAAATTTTTGGAATAAGTGATAAAATCAGGGCCGTGTTTAAAAAATAAAAGTTCATGATAGCAGCCTAAAAACGAAATGTCGCCATCGGTTTGAAAATTTTATAACACCATCTTGTAGAACAAAAAAGTAGTAATGAGAACGTGAAAAATTTATTTTGTTACATCTATTCAAATAGAGACATAAAAAAATAAAAATGAAATCGCAAATATTCTGAACAAAGACGAAACCATAAAGCTTGAACTATAAAAGGAAATGTTAAAACTATTAGTACTAGTAGTAAATATTATTTATATTATACATTAGGAAGAGAAAAGATTTAAAAAAAATTGTAAAGAAAGTATAGTATACTTATACAAGTAAGGTAGATAACAAGAGATGGCAAAACATAACTGGTAAAATTAACATGGAACTCAGGTATCCGTGGCTAGATTTGTGCACAGGGTGCCTAACCAAATTGCATTGGAAGGAACGAACATTTAAAAATACTGTTTTTCTTTATAACAATGATTTAACAAAATTGGTCTGATATTTTTTTTCGTTTTAACTATAAGGAATAAAATTTACGTGACGCGATTTATACTTACATCTCCCATTTTTTCTTGAGCATTAAAAATATCCAGAGCAGGTGCTGCTTTTAGTATTTCCAAAGCTTCTTTATCATTTTTAGCATCTTTTCCTAATAACTTTACTAAATTCCTAGCATTATCCTTACTTCCCCAGAACCATGAATTCAGACAGCATCCACTTTGGAGTATTGCTCGGTGGAATAAGCCTCTTGACGCTGGAGACAATACATGAGCATGAACTGAGGCAGACCCAGCGCTTTCACCAAATATCGTAACATTATTTGGGTCCCCACTGAAGTTTTTGATGTTCTTCTGCACCCATTTCAATGCCATGCATTGATCTTTGAAGCCATTGTTGCCTGGGACTCCCAAAGATGCGTCACTTAAACTCAAAAACCCTAAAAAAATGTTACTATCATATGCCATTAACATTTTTTATAGTAGTTTTATGTTACCTAAAACACCTAACCTGTAATTGAAAGTTACCAAAACTATGTCTTGCAAAAGCAAAAATTCTGGACCGTACAGTCCTGGTCTGCTTGATCCACTTGTTAATCCACCTCCGTAGATATATACCATGACAGGCTTTAAAGTTACGGTGTGTTTGGGCAGCTAAAATAAAAATAATGGTTGATTAATATTTTTTTGGAATTAGTAAAAATTAAAATTAGAACTAATGTAATAATTCTTATATTATCAAAGATCTACAACTCTATATTACATTGTCAAATTCTTTAAGAAATAATGTAGTTTACTACTAATCTCATTTTAAGGAATGTTTTTTTAATAATACTCACGTATTTTGTATAAACATTGACAGACAAACAATCTTCATTTCCGACCAATTCTCTAGTTAGATCATCTCTAGATATACTTGGACTGCCAGGTTTTGTAGCATCTCTAACATCAGTCCATGGTTCTATAGGCTCTGGAGGCTATAAATACAAAACGCTATATAAAGGCTATAAAAAATTTAAATATTAATAACGTAATTCCAGTTAGTTTTAAGTCTAGTTTTAATACGAATAATAGTTAATTATTATAAACTGTTAAACTGTTTTAAAACATGATACTAAATATAATATTACCTATTATAGAATATAGAATAAAGTCTCTCCAAAAAATCCAATATGTATCATATAAACTTTTTTATATGATAGGGCAAAAATAATATGTTCAGACGACATTTTACTAAACAGAGATATAAACCACATAAAAAATACATTAATAAAAAACGACTATCCACCATATTTTATTGACAAAACATTAAACGAAATATAAACCCTAAATTATAGACACAATGATAACAATACACAATATATACAAATTACAATTCCATACATACGAGGCGTTTCAGAAAAAATAAGGACAGGAAATCAATATAACATACGAACATCTTTCAAAACACAAAATACACTTAGATCCATTTTATGACATACTAAACCAATGAATACAGAGCAACAAGCAAAAAATGTAATTTACAAAATACCATGTGAGTGCGATAAATTTTACATTGGTGAAACATCTAGACCTTTAAATGTTCGAATTAAAGAACATAAAGATTGTTTAAGAAAGGAAGATTTTCACAAATCTAAGATTTGTCAGCATTCATAGGACACAGGGCACAGAATAAATTATAACGCCAAAATTATAATGAAAGAACCGATAGCCTAGAAAAGAAAAATAAATGAGGCTTTTTTAATACAATCTAATAAAAATAAATGTACCTATTGCTCATGCATCTGTAGATGTTAGTAGTGTATGGCAATCGCTTCTTTGATTTTAAAGAACATAAATAAACATAACATACGTAAAAATTAAAAATAATCATACAGAAAGTTTGGAACTTTTTGGTTTTACCTTATTAAGTAATTGTTATCAGGTAGTAATTGTTAATTTTGAAGTTTAACTTGATATTATAGTGTCATTTTAACAGAACGTCAACGGTTTTTGTAGACGTATCTGTTTTAAAAAAGTAAAGTGTTCTCGAGTAGTTGAATTTAAATATTTTCAATAGTTTGTTTTCTTTATTCTTTGTATTTTTTAGCCGACCATACCAATAGGTATGGTAAGCTATTAGGATCGGCAAAAAAAAGTTTTTTTAATTTCACTCAAAATGAGTTAATTGGGTCATAAATGACCTAAATACAAACTATTTTCATGGTGTCTGTCTGTCTGTCTGTCTGTCTGTCTGTCCGTCTGTAACACGATAACTCAAAAACCGCTGAACCGATTTTAACCAAATTTGGCACAAAAATACTGTGGCACCAGAGAATCTGGCCATTAGGTTTTGGTGGGGGTAGGGGGTTGGTAAGGGGGTATGGGAGGGGGTTAAACATTTTAAAAAATCGTAACTCCACAATTACATTAGCTAGCGAAACGCGGTTTTCAATTTAAGATTAGGAATAATATTTGCAACAAAATTTGTGATAACATCAAAATCAGTCAAAGTCGCAGTTTTCGAGATATTAACATATTTTAGTATGGGCGGCTATACGTGCCTTCCGGCGCCAATTTTTTTGCTTCCGACGACGGAAAGGGATAAACTTTTCGAAACGTTAAGCATTTTTTTTGTTCGTTAGGCAAATTTGTAAACCTAACTTCTGACAAGTAGTTTCCGTTTGGATTAACGCAGAAGTGTGTACAAAAAAATAACTATTTTATTTTGTAGATTTTCTTGCAGTGGGGAAATACCCATATAGGATTTTTTGGAGAGATGAATCAGCCACATAAATATAGACATTTTTTATAGAATAAAGTAATAAACAAATAACAGATTACCTTAAATCTCAATTCGTTGACTGGAGGTTTGGCAAAAGGTATTCCCAGAAATTCATAAATTGTTTCACCATCATAATTTGTACCTTTAAATCCTCTAATCTTGCCCTCGTTGATTGAAATTACTGGATCATTTGTATCAGCCATGATTCTATAATTAATTTGTTTATATGTTAATCAGCAACACAAGTTTAAAACACTATAAACTTAAAGTGATATTAAAAACCCAACCGAATATTTAATGTAGAATCTATTATTTTACTAGAATTATTACAGTTTTTTAAGTGTTCTTTAAGAGACTGGGTACGGTAAAATTAGACTAGCTAATGCTGAATTTACACTGTCGATGTCAATATCAAGTGTTTCTCGGCTGGGAATAATAGATGTAATATCGCCTATTCTTGATAATGGTTAAAATTAATAATTCTTATCTTTGTTTACTTTGTTGTACGTTAAGTATATTTTGGCGGTTTTAAAAGATATTTTTCGTGAAAAACGTCAATAACATCAATATGATTAATAATTATATTTATTCCACAAATTTCATAAAAAAAATAATACCATAAGATCGAAAAAAAACGGCGTCAATGACAAGACGGCTAAGGAATGACAAACGATGATAATTTTGGTCGTAAGAAAATTGTAATTTATTCTTAAACTGTATAAAACTGATTTTTAATTCTATATGTATAGTATAAAATTCGATAAGAATTATTTGTTTGGAAACAGATTTGGATGTCTGAAAACTTTCTATCCTCTTATAATATTTCTATAATTAGTGTTAAATTTTGACAAGTTTTAAGTAAATATTTATTAAATGACGTCTAGAGATTGACCTCGCCAAAATTATCATTGATGGTCATGTCCCGGCCGTTTTTGATGCCGTTTTTTTCCATAATATCTTGTTTTGAAATATCCGTATTTTTATGTTAAATAGAGGCAGAACAGCGTAAAATTACTTAAACTTCATATATCCAATAATTATTTCTAACTCATTCGACGTATTTGTGAATTAATTCTTGTTCGAGAAAAATATTTGCTTTCAGCAAAATCCCTGAAGATATTTTCCCTTAAAAATAATTTCAACATCGTAATATTGAAGTAACAAATGGTTTAAACGCCTACATGGGCAAAAAGAAACTTATTTAAAAAAATGTAATCAAGAGATGACTAAAAATAAGTTATTTTTCTGCTGAAAAACCATAATATATACAGGGTGTCCCAGGCTGAGCGTGCATTAGAAGTTACTAGAGAACCACAATATCTAGATCGGAGATTTTTTACACATCATTGTTTACAACGAGGTCTAAAAATTAAAAATATTGTCAATATGGCGGCACTTCCGAAAATACCGGAAGTTGACAACGACTTTCTTATTTTAAATGGGTGCCCCCATTTTTTATTAAATACTTAAATTCTCTGTAAAATTTTATGAATTTTGATATTAAAAACTCTATATCTAATATGGACCGTTTTTGAGAAAAAAAATATTTAAAATTTTTGGACGAAAAAAACTGCCTGTCAAAATATGTGTATAACCTAAACGTCAAATTGAGTGATTACCACAGTCATTGTGTCACAAAGAGAAAACTTATCTATTTCAAAAATTAAATTTTTCGAATGTCATATAATAATGGCCGCAGCAGCTATCATAGAATTGAGCGATTAAAAAATTATCATAAATCTGTTATCGACGCCTATGATCCTTATGATAGGCAGTCATTTTCACTCCGTGCCTGCACCCCGTGTCCGCTGATGTTTGCGAGTAGCGGAGTAGTAGGCTTTGGAAACAGTTGAATGGGAGAGATTGTTGATTTCGGCCCAGAGAAGACATTGTTTGTCAAGCTAGTTAGAATTATATTTTTAAATATCAATTTCTGTTAAATATATTAATCTCCCGATTACATCAGAAGTGGCGATGAGTTTAATCCAGCGTTCTTAGGCCGTAACGGCGTATTTCTGACTCACTGACGACTATTGACTTGACTTTGACCTTTGACCATATCGTTTCGTAAGTGCGTCGGTTTCGAGGATCTTTTCGGTCGTCTCAGATACGGGTACCTGTCGGATTTCGGATACCGTCGTCGGATCGGCGAAGCGCGAAAAGGAAACCGGAGGGATCATTCTGCTAGTTCTACTGCTCGAAGATATTAGCGGAAAAAAATGGAGTGCTGGAAAGAAGCGTCATATTGCAAATTACAGACTCCGGAAGATAACAGGAAAAGGTAGTGAGCCAACACATTATCTGAACAAATCTCTTCTGAAAGGTATTTTAAAAATGGCTAGAAAAAAAAAATCCAGTTAAATTCTAAGGTAATTATGAGATAAATTCTAAGATAGTATTTTTAAACAGTAAAAATTGTTGCCATGGAGACAGATTTGAGTTTAAAGTAATTGTTCGGATTTTTCGATTTTGGATTTCGGTGATATGAATCGCCTCGTGGTTCAAGAGGTCTCGAAGAGAGGGCGCTATCGTAGTCGGTTGATAAGGGTCGATTTCGCTTGCGAAAGAAGATGGCTGCAAACAGTGCAAACCTCAGCAGTTTTTCACGTAAAAAAGTAAAATTTTATTATTAAAATTAAAAGTTAAATCAATATCTATCTATGGTCCTCCTGATGAATAAAATTTCTAGAGTTATGTGTTATTTATTATATTAGTTATGTAGAGTATGTGTTATTTTATTCTCATTAAACTTCTTGATCAAGCCGAAACGGAAAAGTGGTTTTCAAACATGATTTTTATTTTTGTGCGTTGAAATATTTTGTTGCGCTTTTTAATTAAAAATATTAAACAAAAGTCGAACAGTAATTTAATAACTTCATTGTTTATTATGTAATAAAAAAATATATCAAGAATATACAGGTATATTCAAGACATTTTATGTGGAAAGGTAAAAAAAAGTCTTCAAAAGTTTTTCAGTTTTTCAGAGGTACTCTATAGATTGTTTCATAAATGTATAATTTATATTTTTCATATATACATTTTTTTAATTATACCCCATTTTACTTATTACTTATTTTATTACTTTAAGTTTAGTTATATAAATGTTATTAATATTTCAGCTATATTTTTAATTTTTCTTGCATTTTACTGAAACTTTCAACTTTAGGTACCTAGTCTAGTATTGCGAATATACTAGGTATTACATGAATGTACTTGGTACTTATCTTTAGTGATTAGAAATACAAGAGAGAAATAGTAGATATGTAAAATTTAAAGTTGAACATTTATGAGATCAAACGTTTATTAAAAGTAAGATATTCTTTGTTAAAAGGCATAATATTAATTTTTTATAGACACCTCATAACCCTTCAAATAGTGTTGTAATAAATTAACACATAGTGAGTGTTAAAATAGTTGTGTAAAATTTGTAGAAGATGAGAACGATGCGTTTATTAAAGTATACTTTTTAATAAAAGCGTAATTTATTTTAATTAGAAATAAATGTAAATTTCCAGATGGGTAAAATTCTAGGCGCCAGAGTACTATTATATAGTAGATTTCACAACACGCTGTAGATATCTCGAAAACAAACTACTAAAGCACGACATAAAATAAATATTCTCGGAAATAACATATTGTTTCGGTAAAAACATTTTAAATAGTTTTTAACAAAAATGTCTAATAGTTAATATACAACTAGCAAATCCGATTATCTTAATCTTATATAAAATGCATACACTTTTCATATTATGCGTAAACAAAAATAAATAAAGCGGTACTATATTATTTTAATTTAAAATACATAAACTAAGCTACCTAGGTATGTACTTAAATCTTTATGCAACGTTAATATATGAGTTTTACAACCCCGAATATAGTAATCATTTAGGGATACCCTTTTACCTAAAAAAACGAATATTCTCAATATAAACAAGCCATATCTCACTACCTGAATACTGTTGGACATCCACGTGGAATGGGACAAGTAGAGAGGCATAATCTCTAGTATGTGTAACAAGTTGCATTACGATATCTAGGTTGAAAATGTTTCAAACATTCAGTTTGGATTGCGTGGGAACTAAGCACTAGGAGCAAAATGAGCGTATCTGGACAAGTTGCGTTTATCCCTCGGGGCGTAAATGATAAAGTCGGCGTTAGCGAGATTCGGCGTAAATGAGTAGCGAATTATGCGAAATATCAAGCGGAATAAAAGAAAAATTGGATGTGTAGCGGACTATATTCAGCGTTAGATCTGCTAAGGATCACTTCGACACACCCCATAGAACCTAATCAATCTCCAAGGTAGACATGTTCATTTGAATTTCTAAGCAGCTGAGGATTGGATGATATGAAGTTAGAAACATCCCAGAATGGCATGCAAGGTCACAGAACAAGTACTGTGGAATAGCTAGGTTTGGCAAGCTATGGATTTGGTTATGGTAGATTCAAACGTGTATTAGGATAGGAAAAAGGAGTAGGGTTAGTTCTACCCGGTACTCTCTTTTTCAAGGTATACGTTAGTATGATAGCTGGAAAAGGCGTGTGGTGGTTGCTAAGGTATGAGTTTACCACCTGGGCGCTTTGTGAGTAGGGCGGACAAGACTTGCGAATAGGGATGAGTCCCGGTATTCGGTCTGATTAGTTCGACCCGGATTGCTCTCTTTTCCAGTGGCTGAAATAGGCGTGGGCCCATAGTTAGATTTAGATTTTACAATTTACATTTTAGATTTTAGAGTTTAGATTTAAGAGTTTAGAGTTGAGATTTAACTTTATTTTGTTGCACGCAAGCTGCAGATTGCGTGTAACACCAATATATAATAAGTAATTCGTTTATTTTACCTTTTGAAATTTTCTTTAGTCCCTGAATAATTTATTTGTCCATCATGAGTTTTTGAGTATTGTTTCTGAGTGAGTTACGATATTTTATTTTTATTTATTTAACTTTCTTTAACTTCTTTTATTTATTATTATTTTATTTATTCTTTTATTTATTTTTATTTATTAAACGGTTCTGTGATTATGTTTCTCCTTTTAGAGTGATGTAACGATAGTAACAATTAGCTGATAAGGTTTTGTCAATTGGTTTTGTATCAATTGTCCAGTATCAGCAGCAAACAATCTAACATACATTTTATTTCAGCTTTTAAAAATGTTCCTTTAAACGATTCTGATTATGTTTCTCCTTTTAGTGTGTTGTAATAATGGTAACAATTAGCTGATAAGGTTTTGTCAATTGGTTTTGTATCAATTGTCTAGTATCAGCAGCAAACAATCTAACATAATATATTTTTATTTCAGCATTTAAAAATGTCCTTTAAACGATTCTGATTATTTTTGTCCTTTTAGTGTGATGTAACAATGGTAGCAATTAGCTGATAAAGATATGGCTCAGCAGCAAAAAAACTAATAAATATTTTTATTTCAGCATTTAAAAATGCCATTTAAAAGGTTCT